TCCGTCACAAACCACTTGTAAAAATGCATAACAACAAATAAAACTGGATTTGTTGATTGACTGGTAGCAGTACCATAATAAAATGGGGTGGTGGGGGGGGGCTGTATGGCATACACAGTCCACACAAACCGTAACTTACTTACGGGCTGTTCCTGGCAGGGTGCGTTTAAATCCTGCGTGAGCACTTATGCTCACAGACTAATTAGGTATAACGCTAAGTGAAACAATGTATGTATGCACTGAGGTCATTAGCCATCTGAAACGAGCTACGCATGCTGTGATTGGCCGGTGCCAGGCCGCAGATTTGGGATTCCCGGGAACACTGGAGGTACAGGCGTGAAAGGACACAACCCCACTGCCCTTGGTGAAGGTTTCCCGTCACGGACGGCGGCGCCACACTCAAATCCAAACTTTCTACTGACTTTTTGTCTATCTGGGAAAGACCGCCACATTTGTTCTTCCATCTGAGCATGTGCAGGTGGCCTGCTGGCTACGATGCAGCGTGTTGCTATTTCGGATCCCCCTCAATTAGCCAATACCGTGCTGAAAAGATGAAAAATGTGAAGCGAAGCTTCAAAATGTTCACCTTCTCCGTTTATATCAGGTACATTCTCCCATAATGCCTGTGATCAGAAGGTTGGCGGTTCGAAACCCAGGGTCGACAGAGCGATTTTACCTTTGAGCCCTTCAGCAAGGCCCCCAACTGCTCCAGGGATTGTTGGCCCTTGCCTGATCAAAAAGTATATGCCACTTTGGATAAATGTGTCTGGTAAATCAATAAAATGTTAAACATGTAAAAACTGCCCTCACCGTCAGCTGACCAGCCACACCAAAGTCGGCCAGCTTGGCGTGGCCTTCTGTGTTCAGCAGAATGTTCCCGGCCTTTATGTCTCTGTGGATCTTCCTCATGAAGTGCAGGTACTCCAGTCCCTTCAGGGTGGACTTGAGGATGGTGGCGATCTCGTCCTCTGTGAGCTTGGGGGGACAAATTAAACAGAAACCATCACGCTAAAAACTTAATTGATCCAAATAAAACAGATTCCATCATGATGTTCTGACAGCACAAAGATTGTAGGTTCAAATCCAAGGGAGAACACATAAATTGTAAACCTTCCCAAGACTGTGGGTGAATCTCAATATCAAGAACCCAAAGAAAATACTCGTGGTCTTGGTAAGACTGGTCTTGCGAACTCGCCTTCTAAGAATGAATTTGGGGTGGAACGAATCACAGGATTAGTGTTGTTCGGCAAGGATGCAACTGATGTACCTTTGACATCCGGGGATTTTTACCGCTCCCGTATTTGTGCTCTGAGTATTGGTACTGGTCTGCGGCAATGGAAGACGACGTAAAATGGGTACGCAAGTACAGTCAAGTATGCTTACTGAAATTCACCCTGTAAGTCCCTTTAAATAAAAGCGTCAGAAACTAATAAAATGTAAATGGTTCTCTGCTGCATGAATGATGGTTTCCCCATCCTTTGTGGGGATGTCTGTTGTCACACGGAGAAATAAACTTACAATGAAGGCATCCAGCAAGCGACAAAGTCGCATAGACCTGAATGGTATAAACAAGGGGTAATCCAGCCTTTTGATAATTGTGGACCAGGAGACTAGAAACCTTGCTATAAACAGGTAAGAGAAGAGAAGGTACTCTATTTTCCCAAAGGAAACTCAACTGGCGGAATACAGTCCACTATGGGGCCAAAACACTATTTAATCCGGACCACACGACTGATCTACCCCCACCGAAACTGAGGGCAAAGGACCTGGGCTTTGTGTCGCTTATGAAATTTGGACCTTTGAGGAAAAATAATTGAGTACCTCTGGTATAAACAATGCCAGGTGACAGACCAGCTCACAAACCATACAACACAGAACTAAGAAATCTCTTTCACGGATAATCTTCATGAGCAAAGGTTTGAGACTGATTATTGTGGGAGCTATTTTTCACTTCATGCCTGCCTGAATGAAGCTTCAGTGGAGAGTTTGGGAGAACCTTCAGGAGGATAGTAAAGTCAGCCGTGGATAGATGCGTGGAGATTAGCTTAAGTCCCCTGTAACAAAACAAACAGAAATGGTTGCCCGGCAATGTATATTACCACCAATCTGCTAGTTTTTGCATCTCCAGCAGAACATAGTGATCAGTGAGCCTTTTGGATGTTAAGCAATGATCTGCATTGATAATCCTGTTAAACACAGAAGTTACTGAGATTAGCTTAAGTCACCCACCTGCACAAGCCCAGCTTATAGCCTGGACTGTGACCTTTACACATACGAACTGGAAGCGTCAGAAACGGAGGGGAATTCTTGTCAAGGGACGGCCGCGGTGAGGCCAGACCGGGCCGGGCCAAGGGCTCTGGCGGAATGTGCACTTCATTAGCGGGAAAGTACCGGGGAGAGCAAGGCCCGGGCCAAGTTCTGTGAGGCCCGAGAAAGCCAATAAAATACCCAGCCAGAAAACAGCCCGTGTTGGGGTGTGGGGAGGTTTTCCACAAGAATGCTACTTCTGTGGAAAGGCCAGGAGGTGCAGCGAAATCCGAAAGGCAACATTCTGCCAGCGGCCCCCTGCAGACTGGGGAAACACTGCCGCGGGTCCCAGGCCGGGGAGACCACCTGACACCGAGCCCCACCCCCTCCTGGACCGGAGCTGGGGTAGAGCGGAGCGCCCCGAGACCATATGGGAGAATGTCCAGAGGGCCGTCGAGGTGTCTCTCACTGAGAACCGGTCGCATTCACACGGTCAAAACCAGAGAGTGTTGCTGGATCCCCTGACTAACGGTGTTGCAAGGAAACGTCAGACATGCTTGAGGTTTGCGAGGGGGGGTGTTGCACCTAAAACATGAAGCAGGAAAAACAAGTATGTGGTTGGAAAAAGGTTTATATCTGAGGACAGAACAGTTCAGAGCTTCCCGACCTGGGGACGACACACATGCGGGGCGGAAGCCCTCGGATTATTAACAGACGCTGTTTTCATGTCGATGGGGTCTCAAGCACATGGGGGAGATGATTACGGACATCCCACCCCCCCCCCACCACACGCTGGAGAGTGCGCTTGGCTGCCGGCGGCAGGCTTGAGTGGAGCAGCACCTGGATTGTTACAGATCCCAGCAGCCTCACCACCCCCCCACCCTTATTTGTTTAGCTACTCTGAAACAAAGCGTGGTACGCAAGAGAATTCATTTTTATGATTTTGCAAAACCACTCGTAAAAATCTCAGAATAAACACGCATTTAGGCCAGTTACCGTTTTAATTTTGGACCTGCCATTCACAGCTGTACAAAAATTATGGATTAAAGTGACACAGAAAAGGCCAGACAATTACAGGATAACAATCTAATCCCCCCAACAATAATAACGTAACACAAAATCAATTCTTCTATACATGTGGTTCTTTTAAAGATCAGAAGTACCCTGAGAAATGGCTGCTCCTACTAACCGGTTGACCGCCATCGACCACGGTGTCTGTTCACCTATAATTTCCCGGGCTTTCAGAACCTTTGATGGAAAAATTCCCCAAACCAGCTGTCTCACCGACTGAGGGAAATACGGGCTGAACGGCCCTCGGGGTTTTCGCATGGTTCAAGTTACAGGGTCTCTCCAGCAGAATCCCGATGTTTATACCGACGTTTACCTCACCCCCAGACCGACAAGCGATGTTCAGCATGGGAAAAGCCATCAATGTACGTTAATGGACTGATTCACCGACGGATGGTTTCAATGTTAAGTTCATACACTGCAATTCCGTTGGCGATACGGTTTTGAGCACTGAAAAGCCTTTCTAAAATATTCTAAAAATAAGAAAAAAAAACTGTAGGCAGTTCTGAGCTGCCTGTTTAGCCAGCTGTGTTCACTGCAAGATCAACAACAGCCTGATGGGTTTTTTTGACCAAAAATAAGTTATATTTTATCGTCACCCCTTTCGGGGTGTACCCCAGCCGGGTACGCGATCTCAGTGCAACCTGGGATAGACCTCAATTCCACCACAACTATGACCAGGTTAATCTGCATAAAGTGGAATGTCTGTCACACGGAGACCCACAGCAGCCACTCAATTTAAAAACAAGTTATCTGAGGTGGAAGGATCATTTCATCACTCCAAATGCGTATGTATCCAGAAACATGAAGCCGATAGGACAAAGCTCAAGAGTCTCAAATTCATTTCACCCTACAGGCATTTGCCCCAAATTGGCATCATTTTGAAATGGTCGATTGTTAAACAATCCAAAGTAAAAATACACAACGCTCCCACTTCGTAAGCAGCCATAATTAAAGTATGAATGAGTTACACATGACTGTATGTCATAGTGACAATGTAGCTGACAGACAATTTTCAGGGTTTTTTTCGTTTCCTGTTCAGCTGCCTGTTATTTCTCTGCATTAAAACTACATCTGCACAATGTTCACTGAGGAACAAACAGCCACCCTTACAATCAATGCTGAGAGTTTAATTAGCACCATGGCTGGCAAAAAGGATGAAACTACGATACCAAACCATGTTGCCTTTGAACGGGAAAGGAGATTCAACCTGAGATACAAATTACTGGAATCACGGAAAAGTCATGAAAGAATCCATTCAGAGAACAGAACTGTTCAACTGAGGCTTCTTACGCGGGAAAAGTGTGCAGTTAACATCCAAAACTCCAGGGGGCGATCTTTCAAATGCACAAACAGGAAATATGGATTAGACTGCAGGATAACAGATCGAAGCAGTGGTAATGCTAGACAGAAGTTAGCTCACTGCTAGACTCCAGTAATGAGGAGCATTCGTTTAGACTTTCTACTCAGCAACTGCTTTTTCTTTGCCTGTCGGCTCCTTCCTTGGCCAACAAAGACAACAATGAATAAAAACACACCAGTTAACTGTGCAGATAATACAGTCTTCCAGAGGTACATCGCAACAAGTCCACGGGGAAACCAGTTATCGTCATCACCTGGGCAACCTTTCCCACAGAAAGATGAACACCCTTCCATGGCGCTGTCCTCTACCAGCGGTGACAAAGTGACGTTTCAAAAGCCAGAGGTTTCTGGTGCATGGCTGCCCTTCACAACGGTTACAGTGCACACCTCAATCTGTTTAGCATTGACCCTGAGGGGTCAGGCAGAACTACCACGTCTACTGTGCCAGAATCTGTAAAAGTCAGTAGGGTTTTTATTTACGAGTTCATTTATAATCATCAAGTGTGCCGTTACCAAAGGGCAGCAATCAATTTCTATGTTTAAACCAGTAATACATCTACCATAAGCATTAGGAGAGATTTATAAATCTTGAGGACTCAGTAATTGTGGATGTGGAACTTTTATAGTGTTTCCAAACGGCTCCCAGATGCATCACTCCGAGCACCAAGCTCCTTATGACCCCAGCACATCCAGGGAGAGGGTCCAGACCCAAAAAGCAATCCCCAGCACGGAACCCGGGTACCCCTCCACACGTGTAATCAATACTCCCCCCATTTAAACGCAATCCTCACTTGCGCCGTCAAGCCCAAGTAGCACTGCCAAGGAAGTGTGACGTCTCGCGAAATCCTCAACTTGAAAGTATAGACAGCGGGGATAGAGGGTGCGACCCTAGTAGAAGACACCCTCTGAACGCCAAACTGCAGTGCACATTTCTGTCAGCCCGTCACTCTAAAGAAAAAAATAAAAAGATGATTTACCAGTGCTTGATGTTAAAACAATGGAAAGGATATACGGCACAAACCCTATATTAAAATGAATAGGTTCCAGACCTTACAAGATCACTGTGCAGTGACACGTGATCGAATAGATAAATATATGTGCACCGGTCTGCGCACATGTCCCGTGTTTTTTTTTTTTTAAGATACAGGTTGTCATTAATGTTTCCCAACTTTTTCCTGCTAGCATACAATAAATACGTCAGCCTCAAAGCCTTAAGAGATTTCCACGATGATAAAACGGCATTAAGCAACACAGTAGAACTGTTACATATTCCTCGAACGAATGCTCGAGCTCTGACTTCACATCCTCCTGGTTTTATGACACAGCACCAGTGTTGGTATAAAACAGGTCATTGGGACCCCCCCCAGCCTTCCCAGGACTGGTTTGGACGAAACCACACCCACTGCCAACATCTACAACCGAACAACGGGCTCCCGTGACCAATAACTTCGCTCTCGTCCCATGAGTCATAAACAGCCTAAAACCTTATTAAAACCCCACAAAATACATTTGCAAACTAAGTAGACATTTATGAATCAAGACTTCCTGTCTGTGAGTTGACTGTAAATAACAAATCCAGAAGCATACGACTCATTTCCTCGTCAGAGAATCACAAACACGCGTTCCATTAATACTTCGCGGTGATCCGAGGTCCTGAGACTGATGAGAGCCGAAGTAAGGAGTCCAAACATGGGCACTGTTTCTGGACAAGTTTCTGCATAGACCCCTGGTAACAACGAAACATGGCTCTGTTAAACCCATTGACACACTGAACCGGAAGACCTGATATCAGGCAGGAGAAGGAAAAACAAGTCAGGAGAAAGCAGAAGGTTTGGGATTCTGCCAAGGGGCTTGGATATTTTTAGAGGGCAGCATCAATGGAACATCCCATTGCCATTATGTTCAACTGAGCGCACTTCATAACAAACAATCACCCAAAACACACAACAAGCCACCAACATGAGAGGACCAAACCCCCCAGGCCGTCCTGCCGACAGCAGTCCTGTCAAAACTCACTGGCTTTTTCCTAACAGTGTCAGGATCTGCTCTCGTTTTGCTCGTCTGTGAGCATGTTTCTGTGCTTCTGACATCTGGAATCTGAATGGGGGGTGGGGGGCACAGACAGCTTGTGGTTTTCAGGTCTGCAAACTCACTGCTCCCCGTCCACAATCGTTTTCCGCGGATGTCTCCCGTGTAAAGACTTGAGGACACAGGCTTTCTTCACATCGCTCATCAAACCCGTTAACTGTCATGCATAGCCCACCTACAACCCCCCTCCCCCCCCCCAAAGACAGCTGAGATTCCAAACAGGAGCTAGATAGGTTCTCTCCCCCAGACATAATCACTCAGCCACATTAAAACGAATCGATGCAACTACCATACGGACTGCACCTCTGAGGACATCAACGCCAAAAAATTGGTCCTGTACTCCAACCTTAAGCGGACAGCCACTAAAAGTACTGCTACAAAAATATTACCATTGAAACGACAAAATTTTAAATCAAGCCAAATACAATAGAATGCAACACCTATCGAAACGGAGCTTCACACTCAAATTGTCCTTACTGTAAGACATCTGGAAGCATCCAACCACCAAATCACACATATGTAAGCATCAAAAATATATGTATGGTGTTGGCATGGTGATGGAGTTGGAGGCTTGCAAATGGGTTCCAGTAACACAGCAGCATCATCACTCTCCACAGGTTCCTGCTGCAAACTGCAAACCCAGGCCGGATCACTCAGGAGGTCCCAGGCGGGGGAGAGGCCCGGCCATGGAGGAACAGTCCGAAGCTTTTAAAATCGTGAGCCTATCCCCCCCCACCCCCCCAGGCAGGCACCCCGAGGACAGCCTGCGGCTGCAGTGATTTATCCCTGAAAGCGTAAGCGGTAACTTTCTTTACGTCTCTCATCAAGCCTATTAACAGCCGCCCACCACTGCCTGGAGACAGGTGTTCAGGAGGCAGTGTTTTACAGCTGCCCCCCCCCCCCCGTTCCAGTATGAACTGTGGCGGTCACAGTGGAAGAGGGGATGGGGTTATGGCCGGTTAATCCAGCCGGGGAGTCCTCTCCGCCGGCAAGGACGCACATGGAGATCTATAAAATCATAAAAGCTCTGCCTACTTCGGCCCTGTTTATATGAAGCTTTACAGCCGTGACAGGACAATTATGCCACAATCCGCGGCCATTACGTCCCCCCCGGGAGGCGCCCCACTGCAGCGGACAGCTGCCTTTCCTCCCCCGTCAGAGAAGCTGCTTTTACAATCGCTTTGCCTTTGGATCGCTTTTTTTTTTTTTTAATAACGCCGGCCGGGCTCGCGTTCACCCGGGTGCCAGAGGGGAAGGAAAGCCTGGGGGCCCCATTGAGGACTCGCGCGGCCCGTCAATGCCGCGGCACGACAGGAAATGGCGTCTGGGGTTCCCACGGGATCGCTCCTCGCTTCCTGCAAGCTCCTGTGGACGTGTGCTTTTATAAACCCTCTTCTCTCATTAAAAGCAGACACAAACTGCTTTGCAAATCCCCCTGCGCGGCCAACAATGTCCGCTTAATCACACTTCCTCTTTCCTCCCTGCAAACATGCCAGAATCAGAAAGGTCATGTGTATACTATATCATGTCACGTTACACTAGCTCGACATCAAAACTTCGTTCTGGCAGAGTTCTCGTTTATCTAATGCAAAAGGTGAGCCCGAGGGGTTCAGATCCACAGATCCGTCATGGAAACTACGTAAACGTTTCCACCCGAAGCCACGAGCACAAGCGGCCAGCACAGAAAATCAACCACGGCACCAACAGACAACAGCTGTAACCCTATTTAAACACAGGCAACGAGCGAGCAAATAAATGTAAATGTTAGTATGCAAAGCCGACCAATAAAGCTACAAAACTTCTCAAAATACTGAAGTTCATGGGAGCGAAACACACAGAGGAATTTGAACATATAACATGAAGAGGAACACGCTCCACACAGCATTTAAACAAAGACAAACACTAGGATTTTATTCCCTATATCAGGGATTGGGAACCCTGACTCTGGAGTTTCGGGACCCAGCAGGTTTTCTGTCCCACCTCATGAGTTACTATCTGCCTGAGATGAGGTGTAGTTTGTCAGAGTCCCGGTAGGATGGAAAACCTCAGGATCAGGGTTGCCTATCCTTGTCCTATATCAGGGTTCTTCAACTCTGGACCTCGATTCCAAATCCAGGCCGTGTTTTCAGTTCTCCCAGGTAGTTGTTTAATAATTACTAATTCTGATTGGTCAGAGGCTTCACACGTGACTGACAGGTAAAGGAAGGTTGGAAAACCAGCAGTGCTCGGACCTTGAGGACCGTGACTTGAATAACCCTGTCCTATATCATGGAAGGATGCCATCGACTGTGTCTTTTTGGACAAAACAATAGTGAATGCAGAGCTACCTTTCTCTTCAGATATGAAAAGCACCTGAAATCATCCCATGATGCAAATACTGCAGGTGACCCCCCCCCCCTTGCATGTCTGCGCGATGTGCTCACCGTTTTGTTGCGCAGTCTGATGATGTCGGAGACAGAGCCCGCTCCGCAGTACTCCATCACGATCCACAGGTCTGTGTTCTTAAAGTAGCTGCCATAGTACTTCACCACGTAGGGACTAGAGGCACAAGCAAGGAAAACAAGAAAATTATAATGCATGTAGCTAGTTACTGCAGGCGCTGCCAGAGCAGGAACACAATGTGGAAAAAGCACAGTTACTTGCTGCTCGAGATGCCCGAGAGCAAGTCCGACGTGCAGGCACCCCCCCCCCACCCCCCCTTTGTGGCTCTGCGTGTTAGGACTGCGTGTGATCAGCAGGTTACCATGGTGAATCCTGTACTGGGCACACTGATCATATTACTGCTGAGCCCTTGAGCAAGACCCTTAACCCCGAACACTGCTCCAAGGACACCCCTAAGCTTCACTTTCCAGAAGGCATTTGCAAAATCAAAAAAAATTCCCGCGTACCCGTATGCAAGCTTGTACAAAATGACTAAATGTAAATGAAAGTATCTGCTAAATAAATTAAATGTTAAGAATTAAGCAAACGATTAGAATAGGGTTTCCCAGTCTGGCCCTCAGGGACCCCAAGATGGTCCAGGTTTTTGCTCCCTGCCAGGCAATCCACATTTTTGCTCCCTGCCAGCTGCTGGGTCCCTATGATCATGTTGGGAAACACTGACTAAGAGCATGGAGACATAGGAACGGTGTAGTGCCTCATCCGAGCTTCCAAGCGAGCCATACCTGTCGCACTGCTGCATGATGGATATCTCCTTGATGATTTCCTGCAGATCGGACTCCACCGGCACCTGCTTGATGGCGACGACCTGGCCGGATTCTTTGTGAATAGCTTTGTAAACGCTGCCATAGGACCTGCACAAGGACAAACTGCACCTCACTGCGGAGCCACCCAAGAGTCTCCATAAGTATAACAAGCCACCTGTACCTTTGTTTTGCATGAAAGCTAGAAGTGACAGTACATGTGAGACATTTCAGAAACGGGTCAAAGGTCAGGGACATCGAAAGCACCTATTAAACAACCTATTCCGCATATAAGAATGAAACCATTGACAAAAATAGAGAGAGTAAACTTCTCAGAATCTTCTTTAACCCAGACAACATAAGCACTGCTATACTGGAAGGAGTAAATGCCCCAGAGGAAAATGGGAGGGGGGAGTAAAACGGAGGAAGCCATTTCCTGGCAAAGGAAAATAGAGAAGAGAAATTACCAGAATATACAGAGGGTTTTATGAGATTGGAGTGAGACGCCAGGCAACTCCCCCCTCATCTATCAAGTGCAAGGGGGGGGGGGCTTACATTCAGGTGCAATTTAAGTAAAGTAATGTTTAAGTCAAGTTTGGACAACAAGTTTGATCCACAGAAACGCTGATGCTCGGCGATACAGATGCTTTAAACACTTCACTGAACAAAGATGCTTGGCTGTTCCCTTGCAACCCTGACCAGGATAAGCCTTTTGAGGATGGATGGATGGATGGATGGATGATATGTTACACAGACATCACCCATATATTAGGACAGTGTATTGAAATGTTAAAGAGACACTGGTATGCTGTGTTATGTAGGAGTTATAGAGATATGCTACTGTATCATGGAACCAATAAGCACTGATGGGGCGGTGACGAAAGGGACAGCTCAACAGCCACGTCATCTTTTAAAAGAGGAGATATTGTGGATAAGGTAGAAAGACGCCAGTGGTACGGTGTTACTTTTTGCAGTTTCAAGTTCAACACGTTTATTAAATATAAATACACACCAAATTTATACGTAATACTAACTTTTGGGGCATAAAAATGTGCCTGTCATTGATATTCTAAAAGTACTACTCCTCTGCTTATCAAATGGATTTACCGTATAACCAGCTACAAATTTTCAGAAATGCATCAGACGATAATACGGTGTAACAGTAGACCCACCTACCAAGACACCACTACAGCACTGCATGTTACGCTGGAGTTGAAGAGATGTTACATAGATGCTTGTATGCTATGGTGAAAATCTGTTAAACTGAAAGTTATGGAAGGGGGATATTTGTAGTGACAGACAACAGATGGCAAAATACCAGGGTGACTTTTCTGGGAATCCAGTCTAACAAGCCTATCTGTTGTGTTTCCCGGGGTCTCATGTTTTGACCTGTGCTTCCTTTAAATATGAGGAAGATGCGAAGCTGTTGAAAATGCTCTTTGTCTCCAAAATGAAGAAACGAAAGTTTCAATCCGTGAGACTGTTTTGTGAAACACGCATGCCTGTCACATCCAAAACACATGTGCACGTACACACACACACCACATGCACATCTCAAACATGAAACACGCTCAACACAGACAATACACACACACTTCGAACATGACACACGCCTGACACACACGACATGCACGTATCTTAAACATGAAACACAGCCGATACACAAAACACACACATCCCAAACATTCACAAGCTTGAAACATGCCTGACAGACAGACACACGTGCACACACACACACACACATTTGGTACTCAAGATGGCCACTCAAGATCTGCCCACACAATCATACATGACAAGCAGGTCATGCACATGGGAGGCAAAACATGACCAGCTGACGGTTCGTACCCTTCACCGAGTTTTTCCAGAACATCAAATACTTCTTCTGGCTGCTTGGTCAGACTGTCTTCACTCAGTTTCTTTAGCTTGCTGTAAGACATAACAGGAACATGTCATTATCCTCAATCTCTTACTGCTCACAGAAGATACATTCACAAGCATTACTTCAGTGGCTGCCCATCTGCCTTTTTCCCCCTCACTTCTTTAACTGTGATGATGGTAGACCGTTCTAAACGAATTTGTGTTTATCAATAAAAAATAAATCTCATGTGCAGATCAACCAACCATTGCACTGGTGTTATAAATAATACTGCAGGATTTTTTACAAACTAGACAGGTCAGTTTTATTAATGGGCAGAATAATGAAATATTACAAGAATGCGGCAGACGGATACTGGTTTCAGGTGGTAATATGAATAATAGTTATATAACAAGTATAGTTAACATCTCTGTCACCATCCCATCTTTGGCTGCTGCTGTCCCCACTACCGAGCGTCCAATTCATGGAAAACAATGTTAAGGTTTTAGGCCAACTAAATTAATAATAATAATAATAATAATAATAATAATAATAATAATAATAATAACGCCAAGTGAAGCGGATGAACCAGTACAGCGCAGACGCTACTGGAGACACCGGTTCGACTCTTTTGCTTTTACTACAGCGTCAGAAAGGCAGGCGCCGATGCGGCCGACGGCCGGGAGGAAGACAAGACCTCCGGGACACAAAGAAGCGAAAGCTGCGGCCACTGGCGGCGTCACGGCCATTGTAACCGTGACAGACTGAGTTTAACGCAAATAGGACTGTCTTTTTAAAATACCAATCCCGCAAAGCCAACTGCATTAAAAAGGGGGGACATGATACAAATGGCAGGGAGGGACGCATAAAGGATCACAACACTGGACAAACGAAGTTCAGCCCGTCGCACGAGCAAATGTGGGTTCGCCGCTTTTATCACCCACCTTTTCGGCGCTGACGGCTCCATTTTTTTTTAATCTTAGGAAAGGGAAAAATAGTCCTTTAGACACCGCGATGCTCTACCCTGAAATATAAAATTAAGAGGGATATTACTGCCAACTCTAGTCAAGTTTCATACTCGGTTGCCCAGCTGTCTCGTTGGTGACAATCCCATGACGTAGGCGGCGCGCGCTTCCGAACATGCTGCTCCACGGGGGACGGCCCTCCACGCACTGATCTCTTCTGATTGGACAGCGATTCCTCCAGTTGTCCCCCTATTGGACAATACAGGCGTCTACCCTCCATTTCCACACACCGTTCCGTGGCTGTAGGAAGTAAACATGTGCGAACGTGGAGCATTGTGGGTTAGCGTGGTGAGGCGTAACACTCATTAAACACTCAGATCCTTCCTTATATGCTTATATGCTCAGCACCATCCAGTAGTTCAGATGCCGCGTTGTTGATTTATTTAACAGCAGTGGTTATTCATTTGATTTTAATGCTGTTTCGTTATTGTTTTTACCTTGTCAAAGCGTTTAAGCAGTTTGCACTTATTGCTATGCAAGCATACGTGTGGGAGTGAATTCGCGAGGCATTAATTAAAAACTTAACGATGGGTGAGGGGACATTTTGGGATATTAGGTACGTTTATTTCCTTGAGATCAGCCAGATACATTCATCGTTCCATTCATACATTTTCCTTTCTGTTTTCATCTTGAAGATAAGATGTCAGTCTGGAAACTGATTGGATCTGTGCACTTTCTAATGCAAATTTAGAGATGCTTAAAATGTAGGTGGGATTTTAAAAACTGTTTTCATTTTCCCTCTGTGTCGACCAGTCTGCTCTTACGTGTTAACCTGCGATCACAAATACTTTTACCGTTCTTGATTAGTCTTTAAAAAGCTCGTTCCTGGTATTATTCTCGAATTATTGTAATTGTCCACCAAACCTTACTTTAGGTATGTGCAATTTGACATTTAACAATTAATAATTGTTAAAATTACTACAGACCTATATGCACAGAACGGCACAGTTCCGTGCGCATGCGCAGACAACGTTGTCTCTGGACTGGATATCGTATACCACAGGGTACGTGGATTCACAAACATAATAAGAATAGTTTGGAGATGCGTTTGCGTAATCACGTTTTTAACAGCGGCAGTAAACCCATACAACACGGTAAAAGTACGAACACAGTGGGCACCGGGTTGAACCCCCGACCAAGGAGTTATGCATCCATTACATAAGTTATTGCATCTGTTGATAAATGTATTTCACATTTGATAGATGGACATACTTATGACAGAATTACTTGACTGTTTATTACTCAAACAAGTACAGTTCTTAACAGTATTTTAATCATGTAGGCCTATCCATCTTCTTGCTGCTTATCCTGGTGAATGTCCTTGAATATTTAATTATAGGGTTAAATTTACAAATACATAAATGCACTGTAAAACATCTTATTTTGATGACGGTTTAATGTAAATTGAACTTAAAAATGTATGTTTTGCGGTCAGCATGGTGGCTCGCTAGGTAGACGATATTGCTTCACGCCCCCAAAGGTCGAGTGTGAACCTGCTCTGCTTGTGTGGTGGTTGCACGTTTTCCCTTGCTGTCCAAATACATGCAATTAGACTGTTTGGCATAACGCCCAACAAATTGAGTGTGTGTATATATGTGCTATTTCATGGACTGGCACCCCATCCTGGGAGGTTCCTGCGCTGTCTTGGATGGGCTCTCAGCGCCCATGTAACCATGGTTGGTGGCTGGAAGGTTGATGCATAAAATTCGTCTGATCACATGGACAAACAGCAGTTTTAATTATTTAGTGTCACAATCTCAAATTTAAAAATGCAGACAGGTTGATTCAAGTTGGTTATTTTGCCTGCCGGGAGCAGACACATCATTTTCACGGTAAGATCATCAGAGTAGAATTAAAGGTAAAACATTTAACTGCTGAAATTTGTTGTGAGAAAGTAAGGGTGAGTCCCAACAGTGTTTCATTTTCTTCCTTGTCTGATTCAGTAGCGCATTGTTGTCCTTATTAAAGCTCACGGAGGAGACGAGGGAAGGAAACAACTAAACTAAAATATGTACTGAAACCTACCCTGATATGCAAATTAGCTCGAGGTTTGTGACTCCCAGTAGCAAATGGGAGCGTGCAGCCGCGCGTGAGGGGAGTCCAGTGAGTGTTTACTAATATCGTTCGATTTGTTAATTGTAAGTGCACATCGTGCGAATTTCAAAGGATTATGTTCGGTATAATTTTGCACGTGGTACAGTGTCAGTGGAAAATTTCTTGACAGCACAAAGCATATAGTGCAAAGCGAGCTTCATTCATTTTTACGTGTGTGTGTGTGTGTGTGTGGGTGTGTTTGGAGGTTGTGGAAGGATTTGCTCCTTACCAATGCTGAAACCAAACCTACAGCCTTGTCAGAACATCTGCTCCTGTCAGACAGACAAGAAGAAACTTAACCTAAAACGGTTTCAAGTATAAGCAGTTACATTTTGGAACTAAACAGATTTGTTAGCATTCAGTCACTGTTGTTCGAACACCTTGCGAAGCCTCAATCAGCTCATCTGCAAATCTTCAAGGCAACTGCAGCAGACCCCGTCCTGCGCCCCCCCATTCAGCGTTCACAGGGAGCGATACAGTAACACAGAAACGATTGTGTCTCTCAGGTATGTGTTACATGGTTAGATCAGTTGGAGGAAATGTACTATTTGGAAATGTACTGTTGGCAAATACATTTTTCTTTCTCTTTGTCCATTTGAGCCACGGATCATTTAAAAACAGAAAATAATATATGTTGTTGAGTCTGTAGTGTGGTTTTGTCTCCAAGTGAATTGCTATGGGACTAGCCCACCTGATTTTCTGCCGGCCCACCCAGGCTATCATTTCTGGCTCTGCTGTTGCTAAGCCAAGACACGTTTAGGAAGAAAAGGATCATCCTGAGTCCTAGCTGAACACAAAAAATTCTAAAATAGACTTCAAGTGGAGAACAATAAATATCAAAAGGTCGGTTAAATCGAGACATATAAGGGCCTTATTTCCATAAAAACACATCCATTCCAAAAAACGTGTCTTTGGAAGACAAGCAGACTCCATGTATAGCACATGGGCAGAAGTCAAACAGTGGTACATTTAGAACTGACGCATGAGGAACGGAAATCTGCTGATGGTAAAGCGATGATAGATACAGAGCTAATTCCCGCCACGTGGACATGTTGTCATGAACGATGTCAGTGAAGTATTAAAGAAAAAAATATACACTTGTTGTCTGTAATTTATTTTCTTTCATATTTTTGGGTACAATTTCTTATAAAACACTTGTTCCAATAATGCTATGTATGTTGGTTTATAAAACTTAGAAAATCAACAGGTGCAGTATTTGAGGGAGAATTTATTCTAACTACAATCTTTTGATCGTACTTTTAACGTGCACCAGGAGAAAAGTCCCAGTTTGTTGACACTTGTAACATGATGGTATCCATTTGGGTAGTGCTAGACGGCGCATAATTCACCACCCCTGTCTGGAAACAGCCATCTTCTGTTTTGGAACATGCAGAAACCTTAACATATTGTTGAGAATTTCTGGTTTCCTGCACATGGGTGTGGGCAGTTATCCATGTCAGTCTTTTTTAAAGTTCATAAAGTTTTGCACCGTGAAGTTGATGAGATGTTTTTACATTTGCCTTTCGGAGCTGTTTGGTCAGTGTGGTTCCCTTGATGTAAGAAAGATGGCCGATGTGTGCATTAACATAAGACGCTCTCTTTGATCCTTGGCTAGAAAGAGAATATTATGTTTCCAGCACTGACATCTGGCTTGCTGTAGTGGTTAAGGAGTTAAACTTGGTGTTTCAAACAATATAAATGTATAACCATCCTTGAAGACATCAAATTATTGCTAATGCTGAAGAGCAGGCTGTATATAACATATGGCTGACACTTTTATCCAAAGCGCACACAATTCAAATCATTTTACAGCTGGATATTATATTGGAGCAATTCAGGTTAGGTGCCTTGTTCAAGGGTTCTAAAGTAGGTCCCCTCCTGGGACATGAGCTAAATGCCTTATGCTTAAGGCACGTCATTTAACGACTTTGTTACCCAGCTGTCCCCTAAGAGAAATGTATCTGAATTCACTACCCCTGGAGGTCACCCTTTGTACTGCATTCAGTTTGCCACGTCTGACATTCTCATCATTTCAAACCACGGCTTTGGAGATTTAGAGCCAATCAGAGGCATGCGCTGTCCTTACAGAACATCCAAAGACAGGTGGCAAGCAGAATTCAGAAACGAAGTAACTGAACTGCTGGCAACTCACCCTGAATATGAATTGATCACAGTAGTGCATGTAAAGCCCAGCCCCAACCCCTGGTTTTGAAATGGTGGCCAATTCGAAGAACACAGACCACAAATGAGAAGATATTAGTGATGTTGTAGACTGTCAGTGGGAAATTCACGATTTCATGTAACCAGTATATTTCCGATGTTTTCAGAATTACGAGATTGAAGGATATTCAGATAATTTTGTGTAAATACAAATAAAACACACAAAAGTCACTGGAATGCTTTTAAATTGGCCACAATGCTGCCAATCCCTGATAATGGAGATGTTCAGACACATAGTTTTTTATATTAAAATACACACATCTCTGATGTATTTGTCCTTTTGTAAAAATAATGAGATTTATGATCTCGATGGTCGTGTACAAATAACAGCAGTTACATCTTCTCTCTTTCTGCTCTGATTAATCTGGCAGAAGTGTACAAAAATATATTTTTTATTACACCCATCATTCTTTGGTTATGAGTCAACTGCAACCCTTGAGCCGCATAATAATAAACACAGGAGACACTGGAGATGAACAATGCTCAACCAGTTTGATTTTACTGTCTGGAAGCAAGTAACTGCAACTCAGTGGCATTTGATGTTCATCTCAATTACCGTGCGACGAAACACCAAAGCGCACCATTTCTTGCAAAAGTGTATGAAAAATAATACCCAGTGTAAAGAGGAACACTGAAAATATTCCACGACAAGAAAAGTTCAGAAAAACATTCTTGGAAAAAAAAAGCATCAAAGATTGAAAAAGTATGATATGAGGTGTGGTGAGGGGGGGCTTCAGAAAAACCAGCCATTGTGAGAGAGATCTGGGCAGGATGAGTGAGGGTGTAGGTGCAGAGCT